AGTCACCAGAAAGTCATTGTTTAAGTCAACGGTGTTAGAAGTCTGGCTGTTGAGACTGATCACTCAGTTTAGCCGTGATGTTATTGGCTGTAGGTTCGTAAACGGTGATTGGTCAGGTTTAGTGGGATTTGATTAGTCTGTTGTCGTAGTCGAAATCTCAATGAACTACAACTTACAGTTCTTTTCAGAACTACCCTCACCTGGACGATCGCGCTATACGAACTACTGAAACTCCTGTGTTCAAACCATCATATAAGATTTTCACTGAACTCTTTGTCGAGATTCGTGATTTTGAAGAGAGGTACATTTTTTCTCGCCCATGCAAGTCTTGCCTGGGACATGAAAGTAAATCTTCTAAAATGTTCAAATGTCGTTGTTTATAATGGTCAATGCGCTTAGCTACACCTAGTTAGTTCACAGGCTTGCCACTTAAACTGAAAGAAACAAACATCAACTAACCATAATAGGCTTAAAAATCCCAACTAGCGGGAGGCAGATCAGTTGGCTATTTACAAGAATGACCGAGGAGTTGAACAAGAGTCTACCGAATAACAACTCCAGTTTAGTGGTCAGAGCGGGACTTGAACCCACGACCTCCGGATTTCACGTCCGACGCCCTAACGACTCGGCCACACTCGGCCATCTCCCTCTGCCTCTACAGAGATCCGTATGGTGTTTGTTGATTGATTAAAAAAATTGTGCTCGAAATTTTAAGAAATTAACTACAACAATACGAGCAAAGCCTTTTCAAGGTTGAAACATTTTGTAGAGACGTCGCACCATACTCGCAGTTACCATTAAAAAGCACGTTCACACCCCTTCTGCACCTTTGCATTGTTGGAAACTGGCAGAATGCATGTAGCAGTTTAGAAGGGTGATGGCAACATTGAACAGGGTGGGGAGGGTGAACAAAGTGCCCACAATCGTGTGTATAAACAGTAAGCCACTTTTGAAATATTAATTGCGCGGAGGTTTAGCGGAATAAAACAACAAGGTTGAAGGATGAATACGTTATTTGTCTTGTTTTAATCCCTGTACTGTGTTTCTAACACAGCATTGAGAATTAAATATGTCAAAAATGGCCTATTACAATTGCCATTAGCTTGAAGCTTGCAATGAAGTATATTATAAAAACATGGTCCTTACCTGCTCCAAGCTTCATAGCTGTGTCAATGTCCTTTGCTGAGGCATCCCCTGTAAGCAAGCAGAGGTACATGGCATAAGAATTTTTCGTTATGAGCTCAGGTAATAAGAATCATTTAATTAAGAGATAGAACATTTCTTGAGTTACAGTACACGTGTGCATATATTGTTGTTCACTGAATTGCTTATTGCGTTTTCATGTTACGGTTGGACCTCATTGCCAATAAGCGTCCCCGCCCAACAGGCACCCTTCCTTGAGCTAAGGGCCGAAAGTAACTCAGTTCTGGGGCTAAATCGAAGCAATATGGTACCCCAGACCAACATACAGACATGCAACTCTCCCACCATTTCTGATTGATGTTACAGGTGATCTTGCCCTAGTTGATACAATTCTCACATAAAGTAACAAGTTTGTTACTGATGTGAAGATCAAGGCTACAGATAAATTAAAACTTAATGACAGCCCAGCCATGGTTACAAGAAAAAACCCTTAATAATAACTATTATCTTTCATTTTGAATTCTCACCTCTTTCAAGCATTCTGATGGACTCCATTATGTATGGAACAAGCAAACGATTCACAATAAAACCTGGGGTATCCTGAAAGAAAAGAGAAACAAAACACGATGGAATAAAATGTTGAGGAGTTGGTCATCATTATGAACAAATGCAACAAGGCTGATCAGCAGGACAAACCTTTTGAGGAAGTTCTAACAGCATCTATATGGAGTCTTTACCGCTAATTGTCAGGTCTGGGTTCAACCCCTAACTGGGGTCAAGATGTTGTACTCTACTCCCATAGAATAAAAAAGTTACTAGTTGTAAAGACATTGGTGGGCTGCATCAGTGGACACGTGAATCGCTTATTGCTATTTCTGAACTTGAAGTTGATAAAATCTGTTGTAACAAGTTTGCTATGATGAAGGGCTATTTTGTAATGTTAGCTTCAGAAACTTGTTACGGCACTTCATTTACCTTCATCAACTTCAGTGTTACTCTCACTTATTCTAAAGTTGTTATAAATGACCATAAATAAAAATAATCTCTCATTGGAGCAGCCTGACTTTCTTCCTATCCAGGGAAAGGCTTGGGTATTCCCAGGTTCTCCTGGTCCCTCCACATTACTATAACCAGAGGTAAGAGCTGACACATGGTTCATACAAACATTAGTAAGACCTTTCTTACCAATGACTTTAATTCAAGGACTTTTCAAGGATAAGCCAGCAATATTCAAGGATTGCTAAAAATCACATGCAAAAATGGGGTTCAGGCAGGGGTTGGGAGGGGGCAGAGGGGTACAAAATGTCTTTTGGGGTACACTGCTTACCTTGCAAGAGACTGGCACTTTGCCGAGCTCCTTGCTAAACTGAAATAGAGCATCAAACGTCTCATCTGTTGTTTCTGGAATACGAATAACCTTGAAATGACGAAAATATAAAATGTCAATGGTTATTAAATACGGAAGTTGATCAATTTATAAGACAATGAGAAGACAAACAAGGAGGGTTGACAATGTGGACAAATTGTCTTAATCAGATTCAGATTGACGTGACTTCTGGGGCCCGTTTCTAGAAGGTCCCAAAAAGTTTTCAACTCCAGGGCTGTTTTATTCATTTAATATTCTTGATACGAATAGTGGTTTCCTTCATGCAAGAAGTTTCAGGCATATACACCTCTCTGTCTTTAAATGCCGATAACTAAAAAATGGCTTTTCGGGCCTGCAAAGATTCCGGGGCTTTCGAGAAACAGGCCCCTAGTGCTGAATTATGCCACTTCATTAGAAAATTGCTTTGCATGGATAAAATTACTCTAAAAGTAATTAAAAATATTTCCTTTCATGACCAAACTGACAGGCCCTCAATGAATCAACTGTATGCACTTATTAAGGAATAATCATCCAACTTTGTACAGCATTAGACATGAACAAAAGAAGTGCTAAATATCTTAACAAACCTCAACCAGTTTCATCAAAGGAACAGGATTAAAAAAGTGAAGTCCACCAAATCTGTCCTTTCTCTTTGTGACGCTTGCTATTTCACCTATTGGCAAAGAAGAGGTGTTGGACGCAAAGATGGTGTGACTGAAAAACAATTAACAAGAAAAAAATTAAATCAGTTTGATCTATCTTTAGGCCCTGATAGAGCGTAATGAAGTGGAATGACTATTGTCTTTCTTTCAATGAAGTTAAAAATGAAAGTTTTATGGGAGGTACAATAACTTACATGTATTAGATAACAAATCAAATTATTCTCATTTTTTGATTGGTTCTTATTATGACTGATTGAAGGAGTTATGTATAGATGGAGTCATTAACAGGGGTTTCATTAATTAATGTTTTCAGCAGGGTGGCAACTGGTTTTCACAGGCGGGCAAAACTATTAGAACTGAACTTCTTTGTAAGAAAAACTTTCTGCTAGATGGTCAAACCAGCTGGGCAAAATCATCCTCACAGGCGGTCAATTTGCCTGGTGCCCGGCCCTTCATGAAACCCCTGCATTAACATTTTTTGTGTCTTTTTGTGTCTTTTTTCACAGAAGATGTCAAATGTGGTACAAACATCAGTGACATACTCACCTAACAGCTTGTGTGACAAAATTTTGTCCACGTTACACATTTTGACTTAATCTCTGATCAGTTAGTGAATAGACACAAGGCAACATGGAATCTGTTTGCTAAATGGTTATTGAATGCCAGGTTCTAGAAAGAGTAATCTGGGTTTGAACTCTGGTCAATTTCTTCATAACCCAGGGGCCAGTTGTTCAAAGGTTGGACAACACTGTCCAGTGGATAAATCACTATCCAGTAGATAGTGTGGTTTGTTTTGTTAACACTTATTCCGTGGATTCTGATTTATCCTGTATATAGCATCAACCAGCCTTTGAATAACTGGGACCAGGCCCGGGTTGTTCGAAAGATAGATAGTGCTATCCACCAGGTAAATCACTATCCAGCCAATAGCGTGGTTTGTTTTGTTAACACTTATCCACTGGATAGTAATTTATCTGGTGCATAGTGTTATCCAGCCTTCGAAAAACCGGGGCCTGGTGGATAGATGAGTACTGGTGAACTAAATACTAAGAGAAAACCCTGAGATATTGCAAATTTCTTCGAAGACACAGTCAGAAACGTAATCCATGTCGAACACAGGCAAATCTTGAACGTGTATAAACTGAGAACTGAAGTTTTTTGCAAACAAATTCCTTCCCTGGTAGAGATGCAAAATTTACCTCAAGAAGTGCAGTGACAGATATCCCCACCGTACCCTCGGTATTACCAAACAAACAAACCAATCATATTGATTTGCGCCCAAGGTAACCAGAGGTTTTTCTTTCTTGCCACTTCACAACTCGTGTTTTCACCGTTTCGTCCTTCAACGTATTCATGAAAGCATGCTCAACGTTTTGTTGACATCGACGGTATTGATTGAACAATTGAAAGCATCTTGCAAAACTTTTCACTCGGCCAGACTGACCCGTAGTTCAAAAACTGTGGCATATTGAGAAACTAACTTAAAAGAAATTCATCATAAAGGCTACAGAAGAAAAGCTTCACTCACTAAATTGTCTAAATTCACCATCGATGAATGCTTGGGTTTGACAAAGCACACGGTCGAAACCACAGGGATTCATTAGTCTTTTCATTCTCAAATTTAATTTGTCCTGACTGTTCCTTGCTCTTTTTTTCTTGAATGAATTTTTTTTTTCTTGTCTGCTCACGACGATAAATTGATTTGACTACACATTCCTGTGTTAATGCTTTTCTTTTCCATTCATGCTATTAGTCACAAAATGTAAACCTGACTGTAACCTTACCTGTGATGTCATATTTTGCAGTACATAAAGTACTTTTCGAATTTTTTTTTTGGGGGGGGGGCTCTTCCACAGGTTTCTACATGCTCAAGCACCAGACACCAAAAAGTTAACATAAAACATAAAAAGATTGAAATCCTCCACTAGCACGAGGTAAACCAGTGGGCTACATATTCACAAGATAGTATAGGCGAGGAGTGGAAGTCACGTCTACCATGAAAAATCTTATAACAACCTTGTGCTAAAGCAGGACTTGAACTAAACTGACATCTAGATTTCAAGTCTGGTACCTGGGCAGGGGGGGGGACCCCTTATAAAAAGGACAGGGGTGCTTGTCGTACCTTTTAGGGGGTTGAAAAAGCAGTTTTGGTACCTGCTAGGGTGTTCAGCCCCAAAAGGTCCGCAGCGGGAGCTTTTGCAGTACCTTTTAGTGTATTGAGCTTTGTAGTCTGTGTTTAAGTCTTGCCAATGCATTGTGTCCTTGAATAAGACCCCAGAGATTCAGGGAGGTGTGACGGAACTCTCTCAATAAGTCTGACACCGGGATTCCCTTTCACCACCAATGGGGAGTTTTCCCACCTGAAGGAAAATGTGCAGTACCAGAAAATATCCATACTCCCTGCACAGAAGGAATTAGAATTTCCTGGAGGTAGGAAGGTACTAGAAAGAAGACCAAAAATTTAAAGACTGTATGAAACTTAATTGGAATTTTTAAAGGGATTGCCATGGGGGGTCTTATAAAAAATCCCTTCCATGGGGGAGGTATGGATATTTTCTGGAACTNTCCTTGAATAAGACCCCAGAGATTCAGGGAGGTGTGACGGAACTCTCTCAATAAGTCTGACACCGGGATTCCCTTTCACCACCAATGGGGAGTTTTCCCACCCAAAGGAAAATGTGCAGTACCAGAAAATATCCATACTCCCCACACAGAAGGGATTAGAATTTCCCTGGGGTAGGAAGGTACTAGAAAGAAGACCAAAAATTTAAAGGATGTATGAAGCTTAATTGGAATTTTCAAAGGGATTGCCATGGGGGGTCTTATAAAAAATCCCTTCCATGGGGGAGGTATGGATATTTTCTGGAACTACAAAATGTTCCCTCCCACAGATGGCTGGAATACCAGCCAAACAAAACAAGCCCTCTTCTTTCTGAGCGCTGTTATGGAAAACTAATTTATGCAAGTGAAAGCACAAGCTTTGAAAACAAAATGGAAAGTGCATAAAATACATTTTTCAGACATATTTTGCCTGATTTTTGGCATTCTGAGGGAAAACATTTTTGAATATTTGACGCATTTTTCTGGCAGAATTGGTTATTTTTTAGAAAGGCATCTCTGTAACAGCAGAATTTTGTTGTTTTACTGCCTTATTAGTAATAATATGGCCTCAAAGACCTACCTCTGGATCATCTTTGAACTTTTTCTTTGCTACTTTTCCCAAGCTTTTCTCAATAGACCTCAGTGATTTTGTCAAGATTGCATTTGTTTGATCAACCATCGTCACCTGGTGATTTGTGGCTGCTGCTACCTGAGTTTGTAAATTACATTCAACATTACAAAATTATCATTAAGAGTGCATTCATTTGTAGTTTGTATAGTGTGATCATCTGGATGAGGGTAGTTCTGAAAAGAACTGTTGTTGGTGACTGACGTTTCGGCATCCGCGGTAAAGTGCCAATCAAAACACTCAATCAATACTCTCGATCGATACTCTTGATCTATACCCTCAATTGACATCCCAATCGATACTCGGTTGACATTGATCAACAGTCAGTCAATAGTCAGCCGAGTGTGGACTGACTCATATGAATCGATAAAAATTAGTCAACAGTCATCAGACTGTTTCTAGACCAAGATGTCGATCGAGTGCCGATCGAGTGTCAACTGAGGTGTTGATCAAGTGTCAATCAAGTATCAATTGAGTATTGATCAAGCGTCAATCAAGAGTCACTCAAGGGTATCAACCAAAGGTATCAATTGACTCTTAACCACAGATGCCTTTAGTACACATGATCGCTTGGTTTTGCATATTTGATGAAAAATAAAATTTGTAACAGAATGAAAGGGGGATATAGTCGCTTCCCCTGATCCCCAGGCTCTGCCATTTTTAAATATTATCTTAAAAGGGAGGGGGGTGGCTATAGTCCCTCCCCATAGGCACCAGGCTCTGTCGTCCCTGAAACCTCCCAAAAGTTGCGATAGTGTAGCAGCTCTCATAACCTTGTATTCTTTTTGTTGTCATTGCAGCAGCTGTTGTTGTTTTGGGGCTAGGGGCATTGTTTCTGTTGTTTGTTCTATTGTCCTCTCAAAGAGTTTAAAGGCATTCATCTCAGACCTTATGAGAGCTACAAGATGACCCAAATGTTGGGGGATGCAAGGGATCAAACACCGAAAAAAAAAATCTTCCATTTGTGGTTAATTATAATCTTCAGTGAAGCTGACCTTATCTTCTACAATTGTTTTTATTAATTATTAAAGATTATTTCCGATAATTTACGTGCACTAAATCACGACATTAAAGCCCACGTTGGTTTTGTAAATAAAACACGTGACTCAACGTCACCAGTACGTCCAGAAATTCAAGTGAAAATTGTTTGCCAGGCCGCACTGTAATATGATTTCCACTTCGGAAAAAAAAAATACAAACTTTTGCTTACAGTTAAACGCATTTCTGCTAAAACAGTTTTGAGCTAGCTTCGTACGAGATCAATTTAGCAGCCTGTCAGCAGAAAGCTTCCCTTGTATATGTAAACACTTTAATTTTTGAAGCAGAGAACGACTGGATAACTTCAAAGCATAATATAATTTGTAGTGCATAATGATATAACAAATCAGGATTTCGCCAAAGTTAATAGGTGAGCTGGAATAAACTTACCTGAGCAATCCCGGCTCCCATTAGTCCACTGCCAATGACCGTGACATTTTTTATGGCATTGTGGCTAGAGGATGAACTGAAAAACGCTGAAATCACAGGCAAGTTCTTTCCCAATGATGAGTGCCACAGAAACTGGGCAGATGGTAATTTCGAGGCAGTGCAACGAAAGAGTGAGGCCATATTTGAGAAAAGATGCCAAAAGTCACGAAAAGTTCGAGTGTGACCGGGAAATGGGCTAAACACGTGGGACTGGGAACTAAAAGGTCAACGTCCATTCCCGGAGCGGGGGTACCCCGGGTAGTGGTGGCGGGGGAGGGTGGACCCCGGGAGGGACTCCCATATGGAGTGGACGGGGATGCTCGCGGAAATTTTGAATTTAACCCCTAAAAGAGACCAATCTGGGCGTGGCCGAAGCTTATGCAGACCCCTAAAAGAGACCAGTTTATAAAACAGACAAATAA